CCCGTTGCGCCCGACCCAGGGCCTTGGGCCCCGGGCCCCCCCCCCCCCCCCCCCCCCCCCCCCCCCGCGCCGCCGCCCCCTCCCTGCAGAGGACGGGCGCGTCACTGCGGCAGCCATGGTCGCCGCCATCCAGCGCCTGCATGCCCGGCTGCGGGCGTGCGTGGACCTGATGGGCATCGGTCTGGCCAGCCCGCGTGGCGACACGGTGGCAGAGGACACGGCGGCGGCGGGTGCGGCCGGCGGCAAGGAAGTGGGGGACGTGAGGTGGGCTCAGGGCTTGGGGGTGGGCGACAGGGATGGGTGGGTGGAGGCGTGCTGCTGGTGGGGCGGCTTGGGAGCGCCGGCACCGGCACCTGCAGCCGCATGCCGGCCCCGCCTGCCTGGCCCTGATGTCCTTCCCGCCAAGGTGGCGCCTGCTGCCGCCCCGCCTCGCCCCGCCCCGCCCTGCGCCCCGCCACGCAGGCGCTTCCTCAACCGCCTGCTGGGGCTGGCCGTGTGGCGCCAGAACCTGCTGTTCAACTACTTCCAGGCCACGCTGGGGGCGGAGATACGGGCGGCCAAGGCGGAGGGCAAGTACTTTGAGGTGAGGGGCGGCGGCAGGGCGCCAGCTGGGCTGGCTGGGGCTGCATAGACAGGCATAATTCCGCCGTAAGTCATATTATTGGCAGGTGGCCCGCTAAGTGCAGCATGCATGGGCTTCATGGGCTGGGTGGGCTGGGTGGGAAAGGAAGGGTCGCAGTGGGTGACCACGGCGCAGCGCACAGGTCATGCTATGCTGGCACCACCGCCGTGGGCCCTCGGGAGGTATCCCCCCGCCTGCGGCCGACGCCGTGCGCTGCCGCCTGGGCGCCGCACCCCTTGGGTGCGCGTGCAGGGCGTGAGCGACCTGCCTGGCCAGGACATCGCGCGGAGCGGGGAGCCGCAGGTGGGTGGCGCTCTGCAGCCGCGGCGGGGCCGTGCATGCCGAACCGATGGTCGTCCGCTCTGGGGCCCAGCCAAGGGGTGCCTGCTCCCCATGCCGCCCTTTTCTGCCGGGCGCGGTGCGTGGGGCAGCCCTCGAGCCCCCCACCCCTGTGCTGTTTCAGCCCCACGCCCAGGGTGCCTCCTGCCCTCCCTCCCTCCTTTCTTCAGGAGCTGTGGGTGGACCCGCTGACCGGCCTGCCCACGCTGCGCCACGACCTGACCATAGACAGGGGCATGAGCTTCCAGGCAGCTGCCGCGCGCCTGCGGCATGAGCGCTCGGGTGAGCCGGGTGCCCCTGGCTGCCCTGCCAGCCAGCCACGCCGCCTCAGCCCCTGCATCCAGCCCAGGAGCAGGCCGCGGTCCCGGCAGCGGCAGCGGCGGACTCCCCACGCCACGCGCGCACCCCCGCCGCCCACCACCGCAGGCCCGTCTGAC